ATTATCTCCTATATTACCAACAATTACTATTGGTTTTGAAAGATTACTGGAATCTTATATGTCTTGATAATCAAACGTGGTAATCAAGTAATATAAGATGACATTATCTTAATAATCCCCCATTACACCCAACCAAAGACACCCTAACTATACATGAGAAAATATGCATATCTTACAATTAATTGTATTTTTTAGTTCTTGATTAATTTTTCCTATGCATGACAACAAACAACCACCTAAAATCCATTAATATAATGGTACAGAAAAATAATAAAATTGGATTTTTTTTTTTTTTTCAGAAATGGACAAGATTAAGAAATCGATATGTTAAATTGGATTGCATCATTATAGTTGTTAATCTTTTCTAGATATGAATCTAACCATTAATATAATATTGGCAATTTTCAATTAAGCATTAATATAATGTTGGAGAATTAGTTTACTTTCTAGTAAATTGATAACCTTAAAAAGTTAAATTTTCAATTATTATTGATAACTGAAGTTTGTTTATGCTATCTAGATGAAGGCTGCTGACATCGAGAAATTATAATGAGCAAAGCGCAAAAGGGAGTTGTGTTGAATTTCTTCATTTCTTAGCTATGCAAGAGCTTGGAATGTTTATTGTTATGCTCCACCAGTCAAGACTCACCAGACTTCTCCACCAATTAGGATTCACCAAGCACTTGAAGACAAAACTATATTAGCTGACTTATCCTCAAACCGACTCAGAAGGATATTTTGCGCATACAACTGCTGTAATTTCATTAAATTTAAGGATACAGATGAAAGCTCTCAGCGAATTAGAATGACGGAAGATCTTCACCAAATCGGGATAACTTGTAAAAGCACTCATTACAATAAGCTGTGTACTGTTGTGGCTTATGATTTGCCACGGTGGAAGTCAACACTTATTATGAAGAGTCAAAGGAGCAATGTGGTGTCATTTTGTCCTAGACTAAGTTGTATATTGTGTCCTTCAATCCTTGACTCTTGCTAAGTCTCTCATCTCTCTCTTCTCCTCTCAAAAAGCATGGCTAAAGAATATTTTGGATTGTTGCCCATCTCACAGTTATGAGAGATCAAAGACAGGTGGAGGCTGATTCAGAGAAGGATGTTTGTGTATTTAAGTGTGATTGCTGTAGAAGAGGAGTCAAATATAAATTGCGAAACTTAGGGTTTTCAATTTTGGTGTGTTCCTTTCTTTGTATTCTCCTTTGTTCTTTGTTCATCCATTATACTTTTCTGGTAATTAATTAATGGAAATACCCTACTGTGAGCCTTGGAGAGTGAATGTAGACTGCAAAGCCAAACCATTATAATCTACCATGTTTTGTGTTCTTCTTTGCTTGCTTATCTCTTTACTTTTGATTAATCAATTCAACTATTGATTGTGTTATTAGGGCTGGCAATGTTAATTAGTAAACCCTAGAATCCTAACAAGCTAAAAAAAGTATAAATAGACAGCTCTACACCTCAAAACGGGGATTATTCACACACTTATTTTACAGCAAAAACAATAAAAACACACTACTAGAAAGAGACTGATTTGTCATTCTCTTAGAACATTTCAAGTATTGTAACCTTGAGAGATCACTCTCTTTGTATTCTTCAGCAATGATCACAGAGAAAAATATAAATACAATCACAGTGGACGTAGGACTTGTTCATAGCACTTGAACCACTCTAACAATCTCTCTTGTCAACTTGTTATTTGCGTACTAACAAACAAATATCATTACTACACCATAAACACTCCCCATAATCACCTCATGTGTAATCTCTTAGCACTTTGCACTTTGCACGTGCATAGTCGTTGGTGTCAAATTCACACATCAACATTTATATAAGAACTCAATTCAATTGTAGTCGTATAAAGAGTTCGAGTGTTGTAAATATTTGTATATACAAATTTTTCTTTCTTCAATGATTTGATGCATGATCATTTTATTAGGATCCTTACCATAATCACAACATAGTTTGTTTAGATTTATATCAAGAAATTGTAAAGGAAAATTTTGGGGAAACATAGAGCATGGAATTGTAGCACAAAGAGATCAAATGCATTTTTCATAAAAGCAGACACTGAAGAGGTTTGAGATATCATTTCTAATTTATATCCTCTGTTGAATTTTGATTCATTAAAATTTTCCAAGAAGTAGCCTGAATATATATATACTAACTATATACTTTTTGCTAAAATATCGAATTATTTAAATTTCTTATTGAAAATTTAATTATTATTTATCATCAAGTTCATAAACTGGTAGCAAACTCAGGGACACTTAGCAACTGAGACACATGTTATACGCTCATGTAATTAGGGTATGAAATTCCCTAGTCTTGCTGATCTAGATTTAAGGCCTATTTAATTTGTGATACTGATACAACTCTTTGGGTTTTAACAACCTCCTCGCCCATGACTTCAGGCCAATGATCAGTTCCTTTTTTTTTTTTTTTTTTTGCAATTCATATTGTCTCTTGAATTTTGATTAATTAAAATTTTCCAAGAAATATCCTGAATATATACACCAACATTGATTATATGTATCATCACTATCACAAACAAGTTGATATTTTGGTTTGCAAGGTGGCAGGCCGATGGACAGTTAGCAGAAAGACACATGTTGTAGGCGCATTTTGTTAAGAAAAACATTTTTGGTTGAGAATTTTCAGCAATGATTTACTATTGAATATATATGACCTTTTTATTTACGTATTTAGCTCCAGAATATACCCATATTGGACTCATAACAGAGAAAGCTGATGTATTTGCATATTGTCTCCCAACAGCATTGTTGTTTTCTAAAATAAGAGTTTGAAAACTTGAAAATATTTATTGGAAGAAATTTGCATGCAAAATTGTGATGGAATCTCAGTTTCTGTAATTTATAAAAGGATCTTTTTATCATGATCCTTCACTATGTTCACAAAATAAATTTTGAAAATTTTGTAGAACGTCCTCCTCTACTCTTAGTGAATTGGTTAAATCTAATTAAAGATACATATTATATAACAAAACAAATATCAACACTTTTGATAATTCAATTAAAGATGAGGTAAAAATATCAACGCCATTTAACTTTACAAACTCAATGGACTCATTTTAAACACAAAAAAATGAATTATACAATTTCTAGGGGCATTTTCGACCAATAAAACTGGCTCTTATTCTTGTGGCCAACTAGACACCATGGTATACAATAAAAATTAACTCACAACTCAATTTTATAAACTTTCTGTTATAACCTTAACGTAACAGCTCATGATTAGACAAGTATGATTTATATCGAACATACGAGACCTATTTGTGAATTGATTAATTACAAACTACGACGTCGAGATTGTAAAAAAAATTTGTGAGATTAAGTTGTAAATATAATATTATTCTGGATAGTATCTCTACTTTTTTCGAGTTTGTATTGTTGTTTTCCCATGCATGAATGAAGATGGAAACGGATAGACATCACAAACTCAATGAAGATACTTTCTTTTTAACACCGGCTTACTTTTTCATCTCACCCAACCCTCTACCACTACAGTCCAAAATCAAAGATCCAACCGTTCCATGTACGCAACATGGATGGAATGATTTAACCATGTAGCAAAGGTTGAGTGGCTACACGTCACATTGCAGCGTCCCACATCATCCTGATTGGTCCACGACTCAAAGCAAAGTGACACACATTAATGACTAAACATATTACTAAATGAATAGAAATCGAATCTCCATGTCCTGAAAGACACATTAGACACTTGGCGAACCAAGCCCTAACACGCGAAGAAGAAGAATCTTTTTAAGGTACAATTCAGATGATTGACGTGTAATTCACCTTTCATTTAAAAAAATAATTATCGCATTATGCTTTTGATAAAGTTATAAATCATGCACCCATCTCTTCTTCTTTTTCTTTTACTGGTAGACAACTTTTAGAGATTCCTTACAGATAAATTTGAAGAATATGGGTATATTTAATTACCTAAATCTTGTCATTAATAATGCAATAAAAATTAAGGGAAACAAAATTAGTTAATAATATTACAATCGCGATAGAATGATGCATAATTTTTAAACCACATCTAAATTTATTCATTCAAATTTGTTGATAAAATCCGATGTGATATTATGTGATTCAAAGAATGAAAGTTAAAAACGAGTTATAATAATTGATATGATAATTATATAAAAAATCACACACACACACACACATATATATATATATATATATATATATAAAAGGTAAAGGAATCAGATGCCATAAGGAGTGAAAGAGAGATCGAGTCTTAGATCCCAGGATTCGAAGTAGATCTTTTCGAACTCAACAGCAACTGAGCTGAAGCAAGATAGCTATCATTTCAACTAAATATGCAATTGAAAGTAAAGAGTTCATTAGAAACATTCTATCATGTAGGCGAAAGAAGGAGATAGAATCAAAGATGAAACTACCACTAATGAGGGTACGAAGGAATATATATATAGGGAATCAGATGCCATAAGAAGTGAAAGAGAGATCGAGTCATAGATCCCTGGATTCGGAGTAGCTCTTTTCGAACTCAAAAGCAACTGAGCTGAAGCAAGATTAGCTATCATTTCAACTAGAGATGCCATTGAGAGTAAAGAGTTCATTAGAAACATTCTATCACATAGACGAAAGAAGGAGATAGAATCAAAGATGGAACTACCACTAATGAGGGTGCGAACGAATATATATATATATATATATATATATATATATATATCTCTGTGTGTGTGTGTGTGTGTATGAGCTGTATAGATATATGAATTGATTTATTCCTTTATTGATTATCCCTTATTTTATTTTGTGAAACTGTAGATTAATTATCAAAAGTAAAGAATACAATTCACTTAAGACGACTTATAAATTGAGTCGTTCATGCATACTCTTGTTACATACAATTCACTTCTCCTTCCTACATTCTATCCATCATTAATCACCCTCAAATCAATTTCTCAACAATCAGAAACACCCAAAATCAGTAACATGGAAATTTTTACTTCAACTATTGGTTCGATTACCGAGAACATTTCCAACTGCCTGTTTGATGTAGCAGGCCGTCAAATTGGGTACCTACTTAACTACAACGACAACATTGAAGCATTAAGAAAGGACGCTCAGAGACTCGAGGCTACCAGAGGCAGCATACAACTGAAAATTGATGCTGCTAAAAGAAACAGAGAAATTATCTTACCTCATGTCCAAAATTGGATAGCAGAAGTTGATGATGTCTCCGCAGAAGTTGACAAGTTTTTGGAAGATGAAGTCAAAGCGAACAAAAGGTGCTTCAAAGGGTGGTGCATCGACCTCAGATCGCGTTATCGGTTCAGCAAGGCGGCAAAGCAGAAGATAGCGGTGATCACTCAGCTCCAAGAAGATGGAAAATTCCAAAACCCGTCTGAGCCTGCTCCTCCTCCTCCTCCGGGCATTATCTATCCGGCTGTGGGATTTTCTAGAATTTTCGATTCCGGAGAATCAATCAAGAATGAAGTTATGGAGGCCCTGAAAGATGATCAGGTTAGCATAATCGGAATATGTGGGATGGCGGGTGTGGGTAAGACAACACTAGTGAAAAAAATTGGCAAACAAGCCAAAGAAGAAAAATTGTATGATTCGGTTGTAAAGGTGGTTGTGTCCCAAACCCCGAGTATCGTGAATATTCAAATAGAAATTGCTTGCATGTTAGGATTGAGGTCATTATCTGATTATCCTGAATCAACAAGAGCAAATTTGCTATGGGGAAGAATTAAACAGGATAAGCAAATCCTCATAATATTGGATGACGTGTGGGCAAGAATTCAATTGGAGGAGATCGGTATTCCTTTCGGGAAAGACCATGGAGGCTGTAAGATTGTGCTTACCTGTCGAAGCAAAAATGTGTGCGATCAAATGGACTGTAACAGGACATTTGTTGTTGGAACTTTGTCGAAACAAGAGTCTTGGGAACTATTCAAGGAGCTTGTTGGAATGGATGTTGAAAATTCTACATTATGCTCAATGGCAAGAGAGATAGCAACTGAATGTGATGGCCTGCCGATTGCAATTGTTACCATAGCAAGAGCATTGAAGAACAAAGACAAGCATGTGTGGATCGATGTGGCACGACAACTCAAAACGTCTATCCCAACAGACATCCCAGGGTTGCAGGGAAGTGTGATTTCATCTTTGGAGTTGAGTATCAAATATCTAGAGAGTGAAGATGCAAAATCATTGTTCTTCTTCTGTAGCTTATTTCCAGAGGATTTCAAAATCTCAGTTACAGTTTTAGTAAGATATGGAGCTGGTTTGAGGTGGTTCAAAAATGTTGAGACAATGGAGGATGTTAGACACAGAGTACACGCTATTGTAAGTTTCCTTATCTCTTCTTTTCTCTTGATTCATGAAGAAGATGATTTTGATGGTGAGAAGTATGTTAAAATGCATGATGTTGTACTTAATGTTGCACGTATAATAGCACCTAAGTACAACCGAATATTCTTGGTGAAAGATGACGTTCGTTTGGAAGAGTGGCCAAAAAGAGATACATTGAAAAGTCTCACATGTATCTCATTGATTTCAAATAATATTAAAGCTGCACCTAATGGAATGGAATGCCCAAAGTTGCAGTCTTTGCTATTGCAAATGAATCCCAAATTGGTTCTCCCTAACAATTTCTTTCAAGGCATGAAAGATCTTAGAGTTCTAGACTTGAGTGAAACTCAACTATTGCCACTGCCCTAGTCACTTTCTTTGCTTGCAAATCTTAGAACATTATATCTTAATCGTTGCAAGTTGGGTAACTTATCTATCATTGGGCATCTAAGAAGCCTAGAAATTCTTAGTCTTCGTGATTCTAATATTACGGAGATACCCATCTCTTTTAGCCAATTAATTCATCTGAGGCTATTAGATTTGAACAAATGTCGATAGCTAACACAAATAGCACATGGCGTCATATCCGCTCTTTGTAAGTTAGAGGAGTTGTACATTTTAGAAAGTTTTAGTCTTTGGGATCTTGATGGAGATGGGAGGGATGGGAGAAGCAATGCCAAGCTTGCTGAATTACAATACTTGTCTAGACTAACTAGCTTGCAAATTCTTATCCCAAACCAGGATCTTTTGCCTGATAATGACATGCTGTTCAAAAAGTTATCAAACTTTACAATAATAATAGGTGCTCCAGAAATTAGCGACACAGAGTGGTTTTTGCATATTACAAGAAACTATTCACGGAAATTGATGATCTCATCTAATGAGGTTATGATTTCACGATTGCTTGATTGTCTTAAGAATTTGATAACTAAAAAAACAGAGTGTCTATATATCAACGGTTTACAAAACTTCTTTCTTGATCTTTTAGATAGAGGTCTCAATGAGTTGAAATGGTTAAAAATAGCTGATCAGACAGTATCATATCTCCTAAATACATTGGAAGGGGAATCAAACTTGACATTCCAAAACTTGGAGGAACTACTAATTTGGGACCATCCCAACTTGGTAGAAATATGTCATGGTGAACCCCCACTCCAGTCCTTCGAGAAGCTCAATTCTTTAAGTGTGGGTAAGTGCAATAGGTTGTCAAACATATTTCCCAGTTATTTGTTACATAGGTTTCAAAATCTAGAATCCGTTGAAGTATCTGAATGTGAATCGGTGGTATATATATTCGATTGTGAAGAGCTTAAGGTTGCAAATGGAGAAACAAAGCTACTCTCGTCATTAAAGGATCTGGAATTGAAAGTTTTGCCAGAGATGACGCATATATGGAAGGGTGACACTCGATACATAAACCTCTGCAACTTGAAGAGAATAAGTCTGCAAATATGCCCAAACTTAATTGAACTTTTTTCACCAGCTTCATTACATAGCCTTATTTGTTTGGAAGAAATAACGACATGGTCTTGTGACAATTTAGAGGAGATCTTCATCTTCAGGACGAAAGAAGAAGAGGAATATGAGGAAAATGGTATAGTACCATGGAGGAAAGATCACACCACAACCTCTCAAAGTTTGGGAAACTTGACTTCAATATGTATAGAGGATTGCTCTAAATTGAAAAACCTCTTCGCCCCATCCATAGTCAAGAACCTGGTGAAGCTTAGAAGACTTGAAATAGATAGATGCTCAACACTACATGAAATAATCACAAATGAGGAAGCATCAGCAGTACAAAGGATTGTGTTTCCTAATTTGTCCTCCTTGAGGCTTGTAAGTCTAGATAACATTGCTTGTTTTAGCTCGGGCTCATATTCCATTGAATTCCCAGCTTTGGAGTCACTTTGGTTTTGGGGATGTCCAAATATGAAGATCTTTGGTTATGGAGAGCAACTAACACCAAAGCTCAACAAAGTTTGGACAAATTATATTGATGGACGATGGATGGGTGACCTTAACTCTACAGTGCAACAATTGTTCATAGAAGAGGTATGTGAATTGATTAATTGTTCATAGTTAACAATTGAAAGTATTTTTACTATTTTGATAAAAAAATAAAATGAAACTTTAAATGCAAAATATTATTTTTCTTTTATCTGTGGATGATTGATGAATAATTTGGAAAACAGAGCATTAAATGGTTCTGAAAACATAAATCTAAATTGCCACTCAAAACTTCAAATTGTGTTTTAATCATTGAAAATGATTTGGTATCATAGTGCATAAGTTATGTTCAATTGCACAAATACTTAATAAGTTAAATCATGTTTAGTTGCTCAGATACATAAATTATCTAAAAATTTGATTTTTTTTGCAGGAGGAAACAAGGCAACTGGAGGAAAGATGGCAACAGTTACTCAACAATCTAAATGGTATTAATCATGTTTCACTAATTCAATAACTTTTCTAAGTAAAATGATTTTTCAAGTATAATATAAATATTAAGCATTCTCATTGGAATTTGAAATCTGTTCTTTTATTTTATGGGTAAGAAAGTCTACTACTTAATCTTTCTTATGAATAGTTTAATTGAGTATCACCATTTGTGTTTTCATTGCATTCAGTTTTCTGTTTTGCTTTTGCAGCTTTTTTCACTGGTAGATCATGATGATCTGGTTCTGAAAAATGAAGCAACAAAAATGATATTGCTGTTAACAAGAGGACAAAGCTTTCAAGTAAAATTGTTTTTTTTTTTTTTTCTTTTTTTTCTTTTTTTAAATAAAAGCAACTAAAAGGAGATTTTTGGCAAAGCACATACTGAGTGATTTTTGATAAAACTCTTTAACTGCATTTCTAACAAAATAAGTGCAACAATTGTTTTTTCTAACAAAATACGATGGATGGGCGGTTTTAACTCCAAAGTGCAACAAGTCTTACTATGACACACTAATATATAATATTTTATTTTATTTATTTATTTTTATGTTTTTTTTTGCAGGAAGAGGTTGCTGGTGATTATCTAGAGGAGGCAGAGGTTGCTGATGAGTTTGATAGTGACTTTGATGAAGAGGTGAGTGTGTTCTGTTTTATTGAGACATTCATCTGTTTTTCGGTGTTGTGCTTTTCGCAGATTTTGTATTTTTTGTCCTACACTATTAGAGTATCTTTATTATCTGATTTGACTCACACTTGTTGGTGTTAGGAACCTGAGCCAGATGAAGGAGGAGAAAATGATGCAGAAGAGAGGTATAGCCCCTCTTTGCAGCAGTAAATGATCTAAAATTCATTTTTTTTAACCATTTTCAAATGTTGAGTTTTCTCCTGAGGAATCAAAAATACCTTAACAGTCTACCACCCCTGAAAATCAAGACGTCCCTGATGATGCAGAAGGTGAGAGAGCTGTCAGAAAATCTACAAGAACTGCTGTGATCGTTAGGCAAGCTGAGAGAGATCCAATACGTGCAGATTTGCAAGCAACAATGAAGGTCAGTTTGGGGTGTTGAGGCTTATTGCTTTTAGATGGTATAAATTCACTTGCTTTAACACATTGCTGTTGGAAATGTTCTGGGAAAATTAAGTTGGCTTATTGTAGGATCATATATTTCGATTAGGCATGGGCTGTAAACCAAGGGAATTGCTACCCTGAAGGCCCCAAATCCTGGAATATTTCCTAGGTGTCTAGATGATTTCTTTTTCTTTTTCGTTGATACCAAAAAATTCTTTGAATTTTCCTAGTTGTTCAGTAAGTTCTACACTAGGGGTTACTCGTGTAACCTAAAATCTTGATAGCCAAGTAACTTGTTTATTGTCCCAAAAGGTTGCCCCATGAACCCTTGACCTCTTGGTTGAAACTAAGGGCTTATGCCACTCAGTTCAATCCATGGGGTTAGGTTTCTAGTTGCTTACATTAAGGTATCTTGTATAGTTACATTATTGGGCCCTTGATTTCTTTAGTGTTTCTACGATTATGGTTCTAGTGCCACGTTTGTCTATCTACAATACCAGGAAGAGACTCTCTGTACACAATGTTGTCACAGTGTGCAATTTGTGATCCTATAAGTTGAGATGAATGTTTATCCAGTCTTTTATATCTTTTCTATCTTTAGCCAATAAAAAGGAAAAAGGAAGGAGAGGAGAAGAGGATGGCCCAAGAAGAGATGCTTCTGGAAGCAGCTCAGACAGGTTAGGCTATAGCATTACATGGTATATAATATCATCTCATGAATTTCTGCAAAGTTATTAATATACATGAAGTTATGGACGATTTCCTTATATGAGCTCAACTTTAATGGTGTGAACTGTAATTTTATAGAGATTATGAACTTGAGGAACTTAGAACGTGTTTTAGCGAGGGAGGAAGAGGATAAGAAAAGAGCAATAGTGCACAAAGCTGTCCATAGTGACCCACAGATGCGGTATTTGTCAAAGGATGGGCAGCATTCTCCGATTTGTTATTGATCTGAGTTCTTCACTTGAAAAGTGATCTCCAACTATAGATTGTACACCGTTGTCAGTATTGAAAGCGTTTTATACTTATTTATAAATTTCTCGCACAGGTTATTCATATCTGGAATTCAGTAAAGGCGCATCCTTTCAGTCACACATCTGTTCCTTGTAAGTTCATCGTATCTAAAGTGGTTGCAAGCTAAATTTTGGTAAAAATGTGGTGTGGCATCCACTGAAAATGTTAACTGTCCGTGATCCAATTTTCTTCTAGTATGCTTTTTTCAATTATTCAATTATGTGGCCTTCTGAAGTTGCTATAAATATACAGACCCCGCATGAATTAATGTTTCCCTCCAAAGGGTTGCAGCTTCCTAGGATGCGCTGTAGGATATAATCATTGCAGATTTTAAGTGGATAGAAAATGCAATAGCATGTAAAGTGCCAATTTATTATTTTAAAAGAAACATGTGTAAAATCTGATTTTATAATATTCACCTATTTTTCAGGATCTCTTTGTGTACACTGAATTACTTTACCAAAAATAAAATTAAAATTCCATTCTTTGCTACATTATTTTTATTCATGGAAACCAAATGCATAGATTTCTGAAGTTACCGTTAATGTTCCATGATCAACACATAGTTTGCAAAAGAAGAGCTTGGAATGGCTGACCTGAATTTTTATTCTTTTATTTTCCAATTTGGTTTTGTGAAATGTATTTGCCATAATTTGTATTTTGTAGGCCTGATGTTCTTTGGTGCAGTGATGATTTGCTTGATTGCTTAGTAAGTGATGCTCTGATTTTGTTCTTTGATATCTCTTTCGATCCAGGAAGGTGTCTGTGCAGTGACCAGATTGCCTGCCAAGTGAGTTATTATGGCATTTGTCTAAAACCTTGCTGGCAACTTAGAAATGCATGTTTTGGAATTAACTCATGTTTTAAGCAGTTCCGGTTTGTGGTGTACAGTTTTTTGTTTGATTCTCGGCTTATGGAATTCTTATTGTAGTTATCTATGTGATGTTACATGTAATGAAAGCTGTGCCAGTATGCCTGCTGTTAGAGGTAAAATTCACAAGTTATGATTGTATGATGTAATACTTGAGTGGTAATTGGAGAGACTAAAATAATGATTTTGCAGGTGACTAATTTGTCGATGATGAAATTGAAGAGGATGAGCTGTTTTGGAATCAGGATGCTCTTAAGGGGTAGTAGCTTATGCATTATTAAACTATTCTCATTCGAATTTGAAATTCTTTTAATTTTGGATAAGAATCTTTCTACGAGTAGTTTAATTGAGTATCACCATTTGTATTTTCTTTGCATTCAGTTTTCTGTTGTGCTTTTGCAACTTTTTTCATTGGTAGGTCATGATGATTGGTTCTGAAAATTAAGCAACAAAATTGACTTTGTTGTTAACAAGTGGGTTGCTTATAAGAACTGGTTGGAGTGTGTTTGGGAATGCTTCTCGAAGAAGCTTCACGTTGAATTTTTTTTTTTTTTTTCGATAAAAGCAGCTAAAAAGAGATTTTTGGCAAAACACTTACCAAGAGATTTTTGATAAAATTCTTTAACTGCATTTCTAACAAATACTATGGATGGGTGACCTTAACTCCACAGTGCAACAATTGTTCATGAATAGGTGTGTGAATTTTGATTAATTGTGCAAAACATTATTTTTTTTCTTTTATCAGTGTATGATTGATGCATAATTTGGAAAATTTCGGGAAAACGAGCATTGGTCAGAGTTTGTTTTTAGACTATATAAATCAGAATTGCGTTTCAAAACTTGAAATTTTGTATATCTAAACCATTTTTGAGTGAGAAAATATGTCAGGGAAGATGCATATCTATCAAGGATGCTGGTTCCAATACGGTCCTGGTATCAACGAGAGTTACATTAAGTTATGGCTGACTTGATTCAGAAAGAGTTGGAGAAATTCTCAAACCCTGAGGAGGTGCATTTATTAGAGTCTCTTCTTGTATGGTTTTTGAAGCAAAATCAGGTATATATTAAAATTACTTGCGGGTTATGGTCATTTACGAGATAACTCTACAACTTGTCTTGACTTCTATATGTGGAAACTAGGTAATGATTTCTCAGGGCCAGCATACAGTCAGTTATGTTGAGAATGCCGTGATCCATACAACGATCAGATGGAGGAGTGCATCTACCTAATCATGCAGAGCTTGAAGAACAGAGAGTTGGCAAGGATCATACTCTGGCATACCAGGTTCGACTGTGAAACAATTTCATAAATTTTAGCTTCCATCTTTCTTGTCTTCTTAATTTGAGGACTGTTGGAGCTGCTTCTCCAACTTCTCCATCACCGTTTTTGTTTCCCCCTTATCATTAGGTTGGGCACTATAATGGTTGGTTGTAAATTGTTGGAATTTTCATTTCTTTCCTTCTTTCTTTTGTAGAGTCGAGTTGGGCGGTACAATGGCTGAAGCCCTACACTGATGAGTTGTTGAGCTAGGCCAGGAGGTGTTAAGAGTCTCCTGGTGATTCCCGTCAGGTACAGACCAGTTACTAAAATAGCAATTTGTGTGATGATAGAGACTAAATTGTAATCTACAGGTAATTAATTGTAGTCTTTATGCTGCAGCTTTTTGAGTGAACATAGAAACTCTTGAAGAGATTGACATGGAGTACAGGGAGTTGGCTCTTGAATCGGCATTCAAAATTGGAGACGTATACCTGCCCTGAACTGAACCTCTTCCTTCATCAAGATTCGGCAGATGCAGTATAGAAGCCTTACCTGCAGCAACGCCATATCTTCCTCAAGGAAGATCTCTGATGAAGACGACAATGACTTCATAGATATGCTATCAAAATGTTCTCGGTTCTCTTTAGCATTCGTTTTGCTGTTGTCACCAAAAATGATTATTGCATTCAAGAATAATCCTTCAAAGGCGGTAGAGTAAAACATCTAATGGAGCTGTTTCAAATATTGAACACATGTATTCCAGCATAACAAGGACAGTGAGACATGGTGGTATTATGCTAGAAAATGACATATCTCGAGACCGGCATAAGAGGAGCTATGTCAGTGAAGCCTCAAGATGTGAACATATAGGAACTAAATTTGTGCCGGTTATAATGTTGGTGGATTAGTCCAAAGTGTATATGAGGAAGATTGAAGTTCAGTATTGAAGCTTGAAGATCTGAACAGAGTTATGGGTTATTGTCTATGAAGTTCTGCTGTGTTGTTGTATGTTGTTACTGCTGCTGCTTATTCAAGGAGCTGTTGCACTAGTCTAAGGATTGCTTGATCTTGTGATTTGCTGATACTGGGTTCGTCAGCATTTCAGTAGATGTTAGCATTTTGTGTACAGTCAATTGTATCAGCAAATCTTTTCTTGATAAAATTTTATTTGTTTATATTCTCCTATGCGCATACCTTGATTAAATTAACAGATGGGACCACTCGGGGAAGCAAAGAAGAAGGATTACCTGAAAATACTTCAACTGAGACTTGGTTGTGCAGTACTTATTGGTATGAATTATGTTCACCAATATTTATCCAAATTTTCTATGATTAAAATGAAAATATATTATTGCCAATTGGAGTTTATTGATATTGTGGTGTAGAGGAAGGAGAAAGTATAACGAGCAAAGCGCAAAAGGAGATGATGTTTAATTAATTTCTTCACGTCTAAGTTATGCAAGAGCTTGGGGATGTCTATATAACAACTCATTTCAATTGTAGATAAATGAAGGAAGTTTGATTGTTGTAAATAGTTATACTCTTTGAACAATATTTGGATGTAAAAAAAAAATACTTTTTCCTTCTTTAGTTGTTTGATTGATGATCGTTTTATTTGGATCCCTTACCATGATCACAACATATACAGTGTGTTTAGATTCATGTCAGAAAATTGTAACAGAAAATTCAGGGGAAATACAAAGCACGGAATGGTTGAACAAAGAGATCAAATCCATTGTTCGGAAAAGTAGACAAGCTGAAGAGGAAATGAGATTTTCTGAAAGGTATATACATACCAACTTTATACTTTTTGGTCTAATACTAGATTATTTATTTCTCATCAATATCACATTGATTAATCTGATTAATTTTGCGGGTTGAAGAGCGAATAACTCATTTCTAAATATCTGATTAGTTTTGCAGGCAGGATGGCAAGGAATAAATGGAGAGGTTTAAGGTATTAATCATGTTTTAATAATTCATTCTCACCCTGATTTAACTAAAACATTCTTCTTCAATTTTTTGTGCTTATAATTAAAATACATATTTTAGTTAACAAAACATAGGGGTAAAATTGATGGTAACGACAAACTTATGGGGACAGATATATCTTTAAAACCTAAAGGGTGAATACGAAAGTAGTTAGATTCCGGGGTCTTTAATATTTTCCCGAACAAACCTCTTGCAAAATCTCCACTGTTTCTCAGTAACCAAACAGCTTCTCTTTTCCCTCTCGCTCTCCTTTCTCGATCTTTCTTCTTCCTCATTTGATCTACGATTCGTTAGTTTCCGCCGTAATTCGTTGAAGATTCGACTAGAACACCTATAAATTTTCATCTGCAAGCGACAATCGAGGCGCTTAATATTTATTTCCCGAAAGAACTGAAAAAGAATTTCTGTAGAAGCCGCAGCGGAGGCAATGGAAGAAACCTCTAACAAAGAAGATGCTCCTGTCGCTTTTCTCGACCGCGCCTCTCGAGCAACAAGAGGAAAAAGGTTAGTTTCTTGTAATTTCTTCTTCGTTGTTTATGTTATGGTAATGCGAAACGACGACGCTGTAACGGTAGTGTTACCGGAATCCGAGGGTTGGAAATTTTGTTTTTTAAAAGATAAGTTACTGTACTGGAATGAGACAGTTTGGGACGGTGGCTTGTTGGACTTGTAATGAAAGTATTACTATGTGATAAGAAATAAAATCTGATAATCTAAATGAAAGTACAGTTTTATTTCTTTGAACAAATAGTTTTATATCACTTTTAATTTGTAACATTTACGCGTAGTTTAAACATTTAACAAAGTCAATCATGTCTCGGATTGTGTAATGTATGTGATGTTACATGTGATGAAAGCTGTGCCAGTACTATGTAGTGGTAAAATTCACAAGTTATGATTGTATTGATGTAATAGTTGAGTGGGAATTGGAGAGACTAAAATGAATTATTTTGCAGGATGACTAAGTTGCACGATGATGAAATTGAAGAGGATGAGCTGTTATGGAATCAGGATGCTCTTAAGAGGTAGTATATTATGCATTATTCAAAGTATTCTCATTCGAATTTGAAATCTGTTCTTTTATTTTGTGGATAAAAAAGTCACCACTTAATCTTTCTTATGAATAGTTTAATTGAGTGTCACCATTTGTATTTTCCTTGCATTTATTTTTCTGTTGTGCTTTTGCAACTTTTTTCATTGGTAGATCATGATGATATGGTTCTGAAAATTAAGCAACAAAAATGATATTGCTGTTAACAAGTGGATTGCTTATATTGAATGTGGTTGGAGTGTGTTTGGGAGTGCTTCTCTAGAAGAAGCTTTCAAGTAAAATTGTTTTTGGATAAAATTCTTTAATTGTTTTGGGATTTCTTCTTCTTCTTTTTCTAAATTTTTTATTAGAAAATCTGTGCTCTGTTTTTCTTTTTTTGTCCCTCAATTTTTTCTGCAATATTGTGTACTTGTATTTTGAAAAACTTGTAGCAGGCACATGCACTTAAAATGGTTCTGGAAGCAAAGAACTTACCTGTCAATGTCTATGTTGGAATGAGGTACTGGTACCCGTTCACAGAAGAGGCAGTGCAGCAGGTAGGTTTTAAACTTTTCACTTTAGTAACATGGGGTACTTTTTGCCTCACGTTGAACTGCCATGGGATCTATGAGCTCTTTTCCTTTTCTTTTGTTAAATGTGGACTTATTGACACAATAAGAGAGACAGAATTACAAGGCTCGTTGTGTTGCCGCTTTATCCACAGTTCTCTATCTCTACAACCAGGTCAAGCATCCGTGTTCTCGAGAGAATATTTAGGTGCTGCTTTTTTTTCAGTATATTCCCTAATTTCTTGCCCGTAGTAAATCAATTTTGTATATCATAAACCATTTTTGAGTGAGAATAATATGTCAGGGAAGCTGCATATCTATCAAGGATGCCTGTTTCTATCATACGGTCCTGGTATCAACGAGAAGGTTATATTAAGTCTATGGCTGACTTGATTCAGAAAGAGTTGGAGAAATTCTCAAACCCTGAGGAGGTGCATTTAATTAGAGTCTCTTCTTCTATATGGTTCTTTTGAAGCATAAAATCAGGATATATATTAAAATTTGACTTGCCTGGGTTATGGTCATTTGACGAGATTAGCTCTCTACAACTTGTCTTTGACTTCTATATGTGGAACTACAGGTAATGATATTCTTCAGTGCCCACGGGGTACCAGTCAGTTATGTTGAGAATGAGGGGTGATCCATACAAAGATCAGATGGAGGAGTGCATCTACCTAATCATGCAGAACTTGAAGAACAGAGGAGTTGGCAATGATCATACTCTGGCATACCAGGTTCGACTGTGAAACCCGATTTCATAAATTTTAGCTTCCATCTTTCTTGTCTTCCCTTAATTATGAGGACTGTCTGGAGCTGCTGTCTACCAACTTTCTCCATCACCGATTTTTGTTTCCCCCTTATCATTAGGTTGGGCACTATAATGTTTTGGTTGGTTAAACTGTTAGAATTTTCATTTCTTTCCCCTTCTTTTCTTTTGTAGAGCCGAGTTGGACCGGTACAGTGGCTGAAGCCCTACACTGATGAAGTTCTTGTTGAGCTAGGCCAGAGAGGTGTTAAGAGTCTCCTGGTGATTCCCGTCAGGTACTTGACCAGTTACTAATATAGCAAATTTGTGTGTATATGAGCACTAAATATGTAATCTACAGAGTTAAATTAATTGTAGTCTTTACGCTGCAGCTTTGTGAGTGAACACATAGAAACTCTTGAAGAGATTGACATGGAGTACAGGGAGTTGGCTCTTGAATCTGGCATTCAAAATTGGAGACGTGTACCTGCCCTGAACTGAACCTCTTCCTTCATCACGGATCTGGCAGATGCAGTACTAGAAGCCTTACCTGCAGCAACTGCCATATCTTCCTCAAGGAAGATCTCCGATGAAGACGACAATGACTTAATGAGAAATGATATCAAAATGTTCTTCGGTTCTATCTTAGCATTCGTTTTGCTGTTGTCACCAAAAATGATTCTTGCATTCAAGAATAATCTCCTTTAAAGGCGATTAAGAGTAAAACATGTAATGGAGCTGTTTCAAATATTGAACACATGTATGCCAGGATAATGAGGATATGTGAAACTAGTGGTATTATGCTAGCATAATAAGGACGTATCTCAGGACTTGCATAACGAAGAGCTATGTCGATGAAGCCTCAAGATGCTGAACATATAGGAACTACAAATTTCTTGCCGGATATAATATTGGTGGATTAGTCCAAAGTGTATATTGAGGAGATTGAAGTTGAGTATTGAAGCTTGAAGATCTGAAGAGAGTTATTTGGTTTATTGTCTATTGAAGTTCCGCTGCTGCTGAATTGCTGGTGCTGAAACTGTAAGCACAGTTTAGCTTGAGGGGGGCTGTTAAGGAATGTTGCATTCAGCATCTGTTTTATGTTTGCAACTCAAAACGCTGCCGCTTTACTGTTGAAGATGCTGCTTGAATCAAGTCAAAAACGACATCATTTTGATTTCTTTGAGTTTGTCATAAAAACAGTTATTGTTCATTGACTGTGGTTGATTGATTCTGTTGACGTTAATAAAAATTCTTGCTCAATTCTTCTCTCAAAACTCTCTCAATCCCTAAAGTTCACAATATATATTTAAACACCTAAAAAAGTTGTAAGAGTGAATATTTGAAATCACAAACGAAAATGAATTAAACTTTTGAGAGGGAACTCAGAGACTAAGTATATACCTAAAATAATAGTTCACTGAAAAGGTATTTTGAAAATCAATTTGATACTCAAAGTTTGAAAACCATGTACTGTATTATGCCCGAGCCACCTGGATTGAAAACAAAAAAATTGGAGAACTTAAAAACTAACAATATGGTTGCACATTCATGGTAAATTATTAAGACAATAGAAGGTGTGGAATTGTATTTACATATGTTGATGCATGATGTATTTACCTATGGTGGCAGTACTGAACCATTGCTTTACAACAAGAGAACCACGAGGAAGAAGAGAAAAGAGTCGTTATTTTGTGTTATATCTATTTTTTAGTGCTCTTCGACAAGTTCACATCATTAATATTAGACAATTTGTGGCATATGATAGTCCAAGCAGATGGTTTAAGAGTGATGACACGTAATAATCAATGTTGGCATATATATTCAGGATATTTCTTGGAAAAATTAAATGGATCAAAATTCAAGAGACAATACTTTATTGAAGAAACTACTTGTTTGAAGAAATTTGCTCATGTAGAACTGTGATGAATCTCAGTTTCTGTAATTGATATAATGATCTTTTTATCAGGATCCTTCACCATGTTCACAAAATGGGACGCCTTTTTATCAGGATCTTTCTTCAGTTGTTTGATTCATGATAGTTTTATTAGGATCCTTACCATAATCACAACATAAATAGTTTGGTTAGATTCATGTCAGAAAATTGTAATGGAAGATTCATGGGAAAACATAGCATGTAATGGTAGAACAAAGAGATCGAATGCAATATTCGGAAAAAGCAAACAGGCTGAAGGGGAAATGAGATTTTCTTAGAAAGGAATATATACTAACTTTACACTTGTTGGTGCAATATTGGATTATTTAAGATTTCTCATTGCAAATTTTATTATTTATGTCTCATCAATATCAGAAACCGGTGGGAAATTTCAGTCCAACTTGGTGGCAGGCCGCCGTAAGTTAACATAGGAACTCGACACAGTTATTGGCAAATTTGGGTATCGAAATCCCCTCAGACTAATGCCTTTCAATTTGAGATACTTACACAATTATTTGTTTGTTGAACATAAGATATTAAATTGAATATTAAGAAAAAAAATATTTGGTTGATACTTTTCAAATTATACTACTCTTTGGGCACAAGTTAGGTAAAAAATTTAATTCATAAACTACCTATTTAATTTATTTGAATATGGATAGTGCAGGGGCGACCATTACTATAAAATAAAAATGATGAATGAAATGGACTCCAGATTGGATCAATTTTATTACATTCAGAAGGAAGTTGAATGCTTGATGTATGAAGGCAGCTTATGCATTTCTCCTATCCCAGAACAAAGACCTACCATGTCTAAGGTTATTTCCTAATTAGCCCTAAATACTTTTATTTCAATTATTTAAAATATTATTATATATAATTTTCCTGTTTTATTTTGAATGAGTACTTTTGTTGCTCAGGTACCTCAAATATTGGAAGCAGATATAGTCGGTGATCATTATTTTGAGTGTTTGATCCAAAATCCATTACTCTGGTTCAATAAACCTTCTGTTTCTTATTCTATAGATTGCAAGTTCTATTGACCAGAAATTGATATTGCAAAATGACCGAACCACAAATCAATTCCTTTGTCAACATTGTTTTATCCATGTTAGCATTGTGGATTATGGCGACTGTTAAGCTCCATTCATAAAGCTGGTAAATTAAAAAAGCAAAGTTTTCCAACCGTTAATAGAGATTTTTCCATTGGTAACAAAGTAATACTCTTATTAAATCTCTTTTCTCAAAATTTTCAAACTTACAGATTTTGAATTAACCCCTCCAACCTTGTTTTGAATAAGATAATAATAAATGTTGAGATCTTGTCTTACACAATTTTATGAAACCTAAAGCTCTAAAATTAGCTACTGAAATGTCTACCCCATGAATATGCTATTTTCTTTATTATCAATTCTTACAACTAATAAATAGTAGAATTTTTCTGTTAGCTGGTACTGACATATACCATTAAGTACTTGTCTCTAGTTTGCTCACCTGTAATAAAAACATATATAGGAAACAACATGAAGAAAATAAAACATAGCAGTACTCTTCTCGTCTACAATTAATTTTTCACCAATCTAAGTTAAGGTTATCATGGAAACATGAGGAGAAGACTATAATACTTTTTTCGGTGGGTTGAATAATAGCTAAACCATCTTTAACTTGAGGCTTATAAAAAACTTGGTTCATATTTATACACAGTTTTATGTTTCTCATGAATGATATTTATTATCTATGTGATAGTTTTATAGATGTGATGCAATTTTTTTTCTTGATAATTAATAACTAATTACATAATACACATAAGTGATAGCGTTAACTTGAATGATATTTATTATCTATGTGATAATATGTTTAACTTGAAAAAATAAAATAGCATGCCATATTGTTCAAGAACATTGAGAAGGAATAATAATGTAAAAATGTGTTTTCAGTAAACAAAATTGTTCGTAGTGTTAGAAAGCTGCAGATATATATAAGAACTTTCTAGGTCCAGGACTACAGCTATTGGTTTACAATTAAAATTTGCATATGCAAATATTAATAACTTCATATTTTCATATAACTTGTTGCAGTAATATGGGTGAAGAGTCTAAGATTTTAGTGAGTTAGTAATCATAATTTATATACAAATAAGATTTTTCGTTAGTATTGGAAACGGGCTTCTGTCTATCAGGGCTTCATCCAACCTAAAAACACGAATTCATCAGCCATAACAATGGTGTATATCAATGCATGTTTTACCCTTACATGTGTTGACCATTTTCATCTATAACTTGATTTGATGCATTTTTTTCCACCTAAAACTGAAAATCGGTCACGTACCAAAATTTCTTTTTGGAATCTAAAACTCAAAAAGTGTTTTAAGTTTCCTCCAATAACTCACAACAATCTTTAAATGATATCAATAACATCAATGCTTTAAAAATTATACTCTTTCGTTCTAGTATTTGGCATTGGGGATGGTATTAGAACAAATAAATACATGCATAACATGATCTTAGAATGAGATTATATTTTACATGTCATCCTCCCCTTGTGACTCTTAAATTCCATTCAGAAAATTGACATTTTCTGTTTCTAACTACTATTACAGTAACTGAACAAAGTTTTTCAGCCATTTGATGAAGATTTTTCTGTTTAAATCATCCCCAATCTAGGTAGCATGAGGTAAATAATACGCTTATTAAATTTTTTCTGTTTTACATAAAAATTTTCGACTTCAAAATTGTTTAGAATTCAAAGGAATTTTACTAGGGATGGCAATGTGGGTAAAATTATTTTGCATTCCATGAATCTGTTGTTTTATACTCTTTTTTATTATTATTATTATTAATTACCTTGGAATTGTATCATCATTATTTTGTTGTGTTTATAATTTTTTTTTTTTTTTTTTATAATTCTTAAACTTATATTATACAACGAGGTTATTGTTAGTCTCATACCGATTAAACATGTTTAAGCCTACTGATTTATAAGAGGGTTTATCTTCTTATTAAAAAATGTCTTATTAAGTGAGGAGTCAAACTCACCTCAAGTTATCTCATGATATCTGAGCTAAGCCCAATTGAGTTGAGTGTTTAATTAACATGTGAGGGGTTAGAGCCATCAATAGGCATGACCTAACATATAGGCTTATTTAAGCCCATCCCCTCCAATTCAAAAAGACCTTATTAGATGAAGAGTCAGAGCCACCTCAAGTTCTATCAGTTATTTATAAAGTTTCAAATATAATACTAAATATATATACATTTAAGTGAAATTTTGATGAAGTATTTTTACTATGAAAATTAATTAATATTTTTATTTTTATTTAATAAACAAAACATATTTATTTTCGATTTTTGCTTCAGGCCCCAAATATACTTGAGACAGCCCCGCATGATTGGATCATAATTGTTACCGTTGGATTTGTTAAACATATTAATTATGGCATATAAGGCTTAGTTATTTATTTTCCTTTAACCACAAATAGGACTAAAGTGAAAATGAATCAAACTTAGAAAATAAATTATGGTTGGATTGTGTTTCAAATTAATTTTTATGGGATGTGTTTGGAGATATAAAAAATTGTGAATTTAGGTAAGCACTAGATATGTTTTATCGGCAGTCGTTCATGAATTAAATTCAAAGTCATGAGCAATATATCTTCCAAATAGAATAAAGATTTCGAGAATTCATGAGAAAAATATTGAATACAAGACAATACGATTTTGAAATAAAGAAATACAAAATAATTTTGAAAACCATGAAATTTACAGTATAATAAATCTATTTATAACTATTCATTAAAGAAGGAAAATCAATAATATTGAATTTTCTCAATTAAACAATAATTTTCTCTAAAAATAATAAGTAAATAATTTTACAATCTAAATTCCTAAATTGAACTCTTAGTAAAAATACGAAATAAACTTAAAATTTAAAATAAAAAAAGGATTTTTTATAAGTGGTTTCATAATAGCAATGTTGACTTGTAACCATTCAAATATAATAAGGTGGTTGATGATGTAAAGTTTTAATTTTGTGTATTATGGTTTGAAAATGAAAGAGATGAGGAAGAGGGTGTAGATGAATGAAAATTGAAATATATGTGGTTGTTTTGTGAATACTTTAATTTGGGATTATAAAGAATTTGTCAATTTGCTTCTAATATAGATTTTAACACGGTTTTAAAACCCGGCCCGACCACTTCAACTGGTTGAACTGGTAATCAAGCCGAGTCAATTTGACTAAAAAACCGGAATTTGCAATTGACCCAGTTTGAACTGCGATTGAACCGATTTTTTGCTACAAACCGTCGGTCCAACCAGTACGATCAAAC